CCCTTTTTTTCTTCCCCCTTCCTTTCTTTCTCCTTCCCTCTTCCTTATTCTCCTCCCTCAAAATGCTAGAAGCGATGAGAGAGTGCCTCTGGACCTTCTCGGCGAGGCAATATCCACTTGACAGATGCCCTGTTAAAACATTCAGCAACATGGGATTTGGGTCCGAAATCCTCTACTTTTCCATTTTTTGGCCTCTTTGCCTGGCCCTTTAGACTACTCGTTTTCTCTAAGTAGGCCATTTTCAAAGAGATAATCGCCACTCTTGTCTACCCCCACCCCTCGCCCCTTGTCCCACTCTCGACCCACGAATTATCCATTATATCGCTTAAGAACAATGGGGGTTATATTCGCCGGCGCCGTTCCCACCTAAACACCGCAACCGCCGCCCCGCCATCTCAGCACCATCGATCAAGCCTCTTTGGGGCTGGTTTTCGCAAACGATAACGACTTTGCACTTTTGCAAAAGTACAGCACTTCCAAAGCCGCAAACAACAAATCGATTCACACTTTATTGATCAACGTGAAAATGAGGACACGATCGTTCGTGTGTGTGTATTTTAAACAACCGATACTGTGCGCCCACAAAATCTTCTCTCCGATAACACAAATATCACCTGATAATGGTACAGAGTACTACATATACTACTGATATAAGAGACGTTCTACTATTTGGAGAAAATAGTCTGAATATATGAATTCGAAATATTGAGAGTCAATTTAACGAGTATAATTCATATGGGATCTTCTCTCAGTATTTCGAATTGCCAAGAGAGCTAGTCCCACTAAGCACTACAATATTGAATCAACTCAAGAGATTTTTTTTGGATTTTTTGGGATGTGTAGTATCATAATAAACTAACAACTGAAAGTTTAGAATGGTCCGCCCTAAAGCGACACCTTTCTGCACTTTACTAAAACAATGGGTTTACGAGACCCATGAAATCTGGGCCGAAACCCAAGATAACGTTAACGAACTTAAAGTCGCATTTCAGATGGTCAAATGCGGAACAGTACAACTCAGATGGAGCGATGGTTGCACTATTGCGTCAATGAAAGAGAAAGAATGAATCTAAACTACGAAGAAAAAATGAAAGGAGAAAACCAACACAGAATTTGTCAAGTTACTTTTTTTCTAAAAAAAGGGGGAGAGGATGATGAAAAAAAGGAAAAAGGAAGAGGAGAGTACCGATGATGAGGAGTGACACAAAGGAGAGTATAAGGCAATGTATATACACATGGGCTGAACACGACGAACTGACTGCAGTCTCAGTTGGTATGGGAGCACAGCGCTTGTTCAACTAGAACAGCCACATCGTCCGTACCAAGCCAAGGAGCTGCTCTTCACACCCGAAAAAACCCCGAGAGAAGAGAGCCATAAATGCGAAGCGCTACTGTGCCTTAAATACAGTGGGCACGATTGCTGGGGTGGGCAGTTGTCGCCCACGCCATTGGTGGAAAGGTTGAATGAGGCGTGGCCAAACGCTCTCTTGTAGCCCTCCCACCAATCACGCTGGCAACAACCTCCCGCCCCCAGCAACGTGCCCATTGCCTTTTAACGCTCATCACAGCACCTTCAGCTCCATAAAAGAACAGAAGTGCACGTGACACGCTGAAGGGATAATGGCTGGAGGCGGCGGTTGTCTCCAAACGTCATGGGGAGAGGCGTCCGGAGCGGTGATTTGCCACCCAACCAGCCCCTTCACCACTCACGTTGGCGACAACCACCGCCCAAGCTTCCTGCCGCATGCCTTTAATAGCGAACGCAAGCATTCCTTCTCCCTCTAAAAGTGAACCCGGACGGGGTAGTGCGTTGACCGCCCCAACTCGCATGACTCATATTAAATAACGAGAACAATAATAGATATAAATTAGGAATACGTGTGGGTGATACACATAAACGAGAAAAGCTAAAGTGATCAGATAAACGTGACGAGTAAAAACGCTTATATGAACGTCATTCCACGGAGGGATATATTAAAACTTTGGAACATTTCATTAGAATCTTTAAAAAATCTTGTTGCAAAAATATGTCCTATGGTTAAGATGTGGATTTTCAGTCAACACCAGAAGGACAGCAATGTTTTGTACACGCTTCAGAATAACTGGGGAAGGGGGGGGCGGCTCTTGATAGAACTAACTACACTAACTACTACAAGGACACAAACCGACGAGGAGCTGAAGATCTTCTGTAAGCTAAACCGTATGTACATACTTCTTCTGCAGGGCCACATACACTACCCACATGGAGTTCCTCGAAATCCTATTGAGGAGTCGATCTGGGGAGGAAAAAAAATGAAGGTTATGCAGCTTCGGAATCATGCCTTTTAGGAAACGATTGCACGCAACAACTCAAAAGCTATATATACAGTATTAGCTCGAACCGGTGTGGATGGATGGTGGACGAATATAATGTACAAGAGAAGAGGTGCAACCCGGCTGAGGCGTACCCGCTAAAACGCGAGAGTGAGTGTGCGAGATTTGATAGCGTAGTGGTCTATAATAGTGACGACGACAACGACGACGACGACGAATGTATAAACAAACTAGCAGCTAAAACGCTACATAGAGAAAGGAGGGACGTCACGTCGTCATCCAACGTTATACTTCAGTTTCCGGTGTGTGACGGTAGATCGGATAGTGATTCCTAAACATGCAACAATCATGAAATCATGAAAATATAAACATAATTAGAGGATGGGAGGGACAGTTCACGACATCCGATTCGCGGCACCGCGCGCAACTTGGCTAGGACGCTATATCACTAGAATACCGTTAGGCAATCCTAGCTTCGACTGTATGTTGGGGATAATGGCGTTCCAATTACAAATTTACAGCAGCTAAGTGACCCTCCAGGAGAGAAAAATGCCAAAATCATGGAGAACACCCTAGGTAAGGACCTGTCAGCTTCTCTGGACGATAGCCTTTAAATTTGGTGGGCGGGGCAACTAGGGAGGCATCAGAACTGCCACTTATGAAGGCCGCGGCGCTCTCGTCACTTCTAGTGACCCCGTGAATTGGGACAATCTCAGGGACTGATAGTCAAACTACTTGAACAAGGAAGGATGCCTACGCGTTTGCCCAAAGTGAAATATGTCAAGTCAAGTTAGCTAGAAACGCTGCGCAGCGCGCCATGCCACGACTCGGATCTCCTGTACTACATCTACAAATTCTAAAGGCAGTTGGCACGATAATTTGGTACTCGGCCTAAAATGCTAGCAGGGCGCTATATAGTGGGAAATGGCGAAAGAACGGAGTGAAACGGTCAAAATCTGCGAAGAAAAAGCCTTCGTTCTCACTGTTAGTAATCAATTTTGGACGAGTTTCCCGTAGGCATCTTGCCAATAACCGCTACCGAAGGTACGGCTGCATATGTGTACTCATATATCCATGCAGCATCACGGCCGCTTCATACCAATCCCTTCGCTTCATAATTTGCTTAGCAAATGAATCGATTAGAGCGTCAGGAACGGTCGTCCATTTGTGGGCGGGCGGGCGTGGCGGGCGTTTGGGTCGGTATGTTGTGGCTTGATAGGGCCCTTATAAGGGCACCTCCCTTGGAAAAGGCATTATGCAGCGCCTGCTCAGGGTCGGAATTCCGTCCTGCCAGGCGTATTAGTCCTGCTCGTCTTGGAATTTATCGTGCCAACTGCCTTTAAGCCGTTTCAGCCCACACCCTACACCGTACATTCCGCGGCTTGACTAGAAACTTTAACAACTGATAAATTAGTCGCCTAAAATTCAGACTTAGAGGATCACCTCAATAACCCTTCAGATCCGAAACGAAAAAGCAAATTTACGTCGTCGATTGTCTTTAGATAGAATTGAGAAATGGTGTAGGAGCCACGACCTTATTAATTTGACGAGCGAATTGCTATCTATGTTAAGACAACTAGCTAGGAACGCTGAGCTGCGCGCAATGCCACGACTCGGATCTCCTGTACTACATCCACAAATTTTAACTGAGAAATAATACCAACCTGTCTGACAACTGCACCCTGACAAGTCTCCGGAGTTGGACCGCGAGACACGCTAGCAATGTAACGACGAATACCATTGGCGCTATTACGAGCACGAAGAAGTGACGATGGAGACGCTCCCGTCTATAGAACAGACTGTTAAATGAGAGAAAATCAAATTAAAAATAACAGCATCATTAGATGCTGTCTCGATTAGTAGAACGAGATTATCAATCCTCAAAAAAAACGTATTTGATGTTCAGGCCCTACCTTGACCCCATAGCTACCGTTCTTCTGAGCTAGGGAACCTCCGTCAGAGATCGATTTAGTGGCATTCAGGCGATTTTTCGCACTGATAGCCGGTGAAGGTGGCTCACTTCCAGGAGGATATATCATCATTCCGCTGAACGGATCCATGAACGCTTCTGGTGGCATCATGAACAACGGAAGCGCTTGTGGGACCTAGAATCGGTTAACCATAAGAAAAAACTAGTCCAAAAATAGGCTGGAGAGTATTAACGCACCTGGCGATCGTTTGCACAAAGCTGAGTCGGTGGTGGATCAGTAGGGCTTGCGCTACTGACCGAATCAGTTGTACTCTCCTGTTCATCCTCATTCATGCTAATTTTCTCGAGACGTGAGCTCAGACGAGCTGCCACAAGACGGTTCATCACGTTGAAGTGCTCACTCATCTGCTGCACATCACGAGCAGAATCAATCCTGAAAGAGCAGAACACATGATTTCTGACGGAAAATCAACAATAATAGTCTGCTTGGCGCATTTTCAGGGGCATCTTTCACTTTCACTGCTTCACTGATTTCGGTTTACAAGTCTTCCAAGCCCCAAAATACTTCTCCCCGTCACCAACCGCGCCCAACTCTCTTGTAATTGGCGGACAATTATCTCAAAGCAATTATTACCTAAACAAATTGCTCGGAGTCTGAAGTATGGTGCTTGGTGCGCTCTGTTTGACCCAAGGGTGGTCGAGAACCTCATTTGCAGTAAGACGTTCGCTCACATTCTTCACCTTAAATCGAAAACCGTTGACTTGGTAGAAATACTAATAAGTAAAAGCTAACATACCAAGAGACTTTTGACAAGATGCTTTGCTTCAGCGCTAATCATGTCCCATTCGTCAGGTGGAAAGTCGTATTCGCCACATTGGATGCGGCGGAACAGCTCCTGCTGACAGTCGTCACATGGTTGCCCCTCAGACCAGCTAAAATAGAGTTAATATAGATGGCTCAGAAACATAGTGAGGTGTATTAAGGCGACCGAGAGGAGGGGGGGGGGGCATTTTGCACTTCTGCTACTTCCCACCAACGTGTCGAGCCATCAAGTGGATACCTATGAAATCTTGTCAAGCCACGAAAAGATAGCAGCCAAGTTCGTAACCTGTCGACCCTTGTAAAGAAACCTGTCAACTCTTGGAAATTCATGATAAAATTCATTCCATGAGCTTTTCGTGAGCTTACAAGAGTCAACAGGTTTTACCATGGTGGCTCAACGAGCTTGCTCCAGCTTCACAAAAGTTCACAGGTTTCCAGAGTGAGACTTGTAATTCGGAACTATTGAAGCAGCGAAAGTGCAAAATGCCCCCTCAGTCGCCGAACTGTGCCTAACAAGATAACCCCAGGACAGACGTACCCGCAATCCTCGTCATCGCATTCCCCCTGGAATGGAGCATATCCACACAGCATGATGTAAAGGATGACACCAAGTGACCACATATCGCAACGTTTGTCGTATCGCAGCGCATCGTTGACAAATGCGTCGACAACCTCCGGAGCCATGAATTCAGCACTTCCAACAGGTGAGGCCAGATCCGGCTCAGAAGCGATCTAAACAAGTCACTAATTAATCAGACAGGGCACGTCGTACTTTGAGAATCCCCAGCCAGGGGGGTCGTATTTTGTAAGAGGAGGGACGGTATGGGTCGTATTTTCGTATTTGCCCTAAAGCAGTATTTTTGTTAGTTTAACTTCCGTCAGTTCTTCCTTCGAATGCGCTATACACAACCCCAAGCACAACTGTGGAAAAGACTGGGAATTTTTGGAAAACCTCTGAAAAGCGCTGATAAGTTCGAAAAATTCAGGAAGATCAGGTGGCCGCCAGATAGGACATTTTGAGCGGGGAATTTTCCCAACGCAAGACGCGCTTTGATTTCAAGTGGCATGGGAAAGCTTCAAACCAACCTGTGGCATTCTTGGTGGAGAATGACCTTTCACAGGACGACTTGCTAGATCCAGATCACACAACTTTACAGGGCTCACTCGATCAGGCTCAGTGCATAGGGATGTTTTCTGGGGGGGGGGTGGTTCACAGCGCTCGGATGTGCTATTCCTGAAAAATTGCAAACTTTTAGGGAGGGAAGAGCGGTCAGATGGGGAGTCACCGAAAGGTTTATCATACCTCGATCGTGGAGGAACTTATTAGAGCCGGTTATGCAATTATCGCAGCAGTCACATCGCGAGCTTCTTACTTCAGTGAAATATCGCATTTGGCGAAATGATGTGCTCAAAGCAAAAGGACCCACCACGCATCGTTTCAAATACCATGTAGAAGGTTGCCATCAAATCTTCGAACCCACTAGAACCAACAATTATACATCGGAACTGATTACTGTATTTGTAGACTCGAGAGATCATGGAAATCCAGCGTCCCGCGAAAACCCGCAAGTATCCCTGCTATACCTTAGGCGCTAATGAACCTTAGAGGAAAGGGGGGGGGCGCGACGACACGTTGTATACAGTTGTCAACACATACTAAATGCGCTACTTATTACATTGTATACTCGACAACCCTGTCAAACACCGCCATAAAACGTTGATATTAGCCCTATCCTATTACCCGGGCTAAGCAAAACTCTTGTCAAGAAATCTCAATGAACGGTTACAATTTCGAGGAAAATGGAGAAGAAATGGTTCAATCATTCAGTGATACACATTTTGCCAAAGCCCCGACTGAGTTCACAGGGCCAGCCTGACGCGCAACTCTACAGATTTGCAGGCGAGACGGCTGCTGGAAAAAGCCTATAAGGAGAAAATTAGGCTACAAACTGGCCAAGTGATTCACAGGTGAAGCACCCCCCCCGCAAATAACCCTGTTTTGTGACAGTGGGTTGCGTCCTTTGGCCAGATTTCTTTATGGAAGCTCTGCACGAAAGGAATAGAAGCAATTTCAATAATACCCATATTCGCCTTTTTTGTAATCTGGACATATGTGCTTATGTAACTTATATTTTCTTTCTTATGCAGCCAGCGCTTTCTCACGTTACTATCTGCTCAGTTACATCAATGACTGGTTACTTCCTAGCCAGTAAGTGAGGCTTACTGAGGACCAAAGGGCGCTGACAAAGGCGATAGAAAACGAAATATTCTCCAAGATATTATGTTTTCACGTTCCTTTCCAAGAAGATTTTTTTTAACAAGAAATCCTTGGAAACCATTTGGATTATACATTTAGATCCTAATGCGGCTCAAGGGGAGCACAATAACAAGGATTTATACCTCTATTAGCTGTACGATGTTCGGTTGATTCTTGCACATCTTGAACGTATTCACTTCTCGGAGAATTCGCGATCGCGTGTGCGATTCCTCGTTCTTGTCAACAACCTATGAAAATCGGATAATTCTTCTGCCGTCCATGCAAAACAACTTTACAAACTGCTTCTCCACGATTTGAATCGCTTACTTTCACGGCATATTCCTTCCCAGAGGCAATTGACACACAAGTTCGGACACTCGCGTACGCTCCCGCACCCAGCTTCTCCTCGGTCAGCTTGTAGAAATCTAAATTGTAAATCATATAAATCTGAGTGGCAATCTTATTCCTACGCGACCAAGGATAAATGACACGCACGACTCGCCGAAGGCAACAAAGGGCTCAAACGCAAGGGGTATGACCCAGGCTATGACCCTTTGACCCTGCGCCGTCGCGCAATTATCGTAAACACATGAACTGCCAACATCTGTCGATTGCACTGCACGCAACTGCATTGGCACAGCAGTTAGCCGACAAGAAAGTTGGAACGTTCCTATACCCAATGAACACGAAATACGGAAATGACAGAACTAGCAATTCTCTTAAGATATGCAATTAATGGCTAAGCCATTTTAAGAATTTTCACTATACCCCCCCCCCCTCGAAAAGAATTTGAAGTAAAAATCCGATAACTTGTGCTATGAACTTCACAACATCAACCTGCAAAGCAGTATTCCACCAGGAAATTCGGACATATGTGAGCAATTCAATTTCAGGAGCAGCTGCAGCAAAGGTTCGCAGTTTAACAGACTATGAGTCGAAATTCTGCTGTAGGTAAAACATTTCCTTCATGCGAAAACGAGGTTCCGTAATTCGTAGAAAAAAAATCCCCGACCCGTTCAGGGAACCCCGTTTTGGCGTGAAGGAAATGGTTCACTAATAGCCGAATTTTGATTGATAGTCTCTTCAACTTCGGACCTTTGCCCTGTGCCGTTAACTGAATTGTTCTCTAAGTCACAAATTTCCTGATAAAATGTATCTTTGCAGTTTGAAGTTTTGAAGTTCATAGCACAATTTTCGAGTTTCTACTTCCACTACTTTACGACGCATCTGTGCCTTGGGAAGGTTCATGCTCAAATGTTTTATTGTATTAGGCTGCGGACCTATACTACACCAACTCCAAATTTCAATTTTTAGGAAATTCGAACGTAGGTTACTGCCAAAACAATTTCAGATATGTCAGAGTACAGGAATATCGCCGATAGAATCCATCGAAAAACATGATATGAGGGCAATTTGTCTCTGCAGGGAAAGAACAGCGCAGCAAGGACATCTGCAGAGCCTACACGCCAAAACCGGTATGTAGCCCGATAAAGGTGCTTAGTGGGAGGATAGTGACTCCGATTAAAATTTGCCGTCGGTTGGGCAGCTCTAATGATGTCAGCGTTCAAAACAAGGCAATCCTTTTAGTCATGGCGGAACCATACTGTTCCCGAAAATTCTGCACTTTTAGCTGTGCCCCGAAAAAAAAGCAGGACACAGTTTCGCATCACCACCTGCTGTCGTAAAATCGAGCAACAGTTAATTAGGCCAGCGCTTTGACGTTGATGATGGGAACGGCGACGACCACCATATTCGAATGACGATTATCTAACAAGCCAGAACTCTTCCTTTTCGAACAGTGTTTAATTTCCACAACGTCAGAGGGCGCAGTTCGGCAACGGGGTGGGGGGGGGGGGCATTTTGCACTTTACCTGCTTCATGTTCCAGTTTACAAGTCTCACTGTAGCGAAACCTGTGAAGTCTACTGAAGCTGGAGCAAGCTTGTCCAGCTACCATGGTAAAATGTGGACTCTAGTAAGCCCATGAAAACAATTCCATTATGAATTTACAAGTATTGACAGTACTCTTTACAAAAGTTGACAGGTCTTCACAGATTATGGCTGACGTCATTTCCGTGACCTCACAAAACTTCACGGGCTCCCACCTGATAGCTGAAAAATGATGGAAAGTAGCGAGGGGCAAAATGTCCTTCCATGGCCGAACTGCGCCCAAAGCACAACGATTGAAACTTCCGACCAAATCTACCGCTAATACTGCGTAAAACCCTGAGCGCTGTTCAATATTCAGTATTTTCACATGAACATAGGCCCCTGATTCGAATAATCTTGCGATTAGCACTGCCTACATAATCATTCACAAAAATTTGTTTTTTTGCAAGACCAACAACAACAACAAATCTAAGCACAAGAAAATAAACGTACCGAAGAAGCCAGGTTTGTGCTGATGTGATCCACTGCGGGTTCGATTTCTGGGACTGCGCACATTCGAAGAACCACTCCCCCCGCGCATTCCTAGTGGAACTAGCTCAGCAGGTGGTTCATCGTCTACGCCATCCACATCGTCATCGCTCTCATCTCCCTCGAATGCACCACCGAAGAAGCGGTCAGTATCACGACCTCCGTAGAACGATCTAGAAAAGTACAGAATTAATGTTGACTTTTTTTTCTAGCCGCACAAAGAAAACCCTTGTCAAAACCATACTCAGAATGAGCTTACTATAATGATAATCTAAAAACTTAACAACTTCAATTTCATTCCATTTCCCTAAATAACGATAACTTCCACGATTGAAAGTGGCTTAAACGAAGAGAAAAAGACCTAAAACCCTCTGTTTCCCCAAAGCTTTACAATTTCAATTTCATTCCCTGAAAAAATATCGAACCATTCCTCCACTGGTCAGAGCATGGCGCAAGTCGGCTAAGGAGCGAGGGATAGGGGCATTTACAAGACTC